TCCTTCCTTCCTTCCTTCCTTCCTTCCTTCCTTCCTTCCTTCCTTCCTTCCTATCTTCCTTCCCTTTCACCTTTGTTTCTTCCTTGTCTCTCACAACAATTCCTTAATGAGTGTATGTACTGTCAAAAGTGTACATTTCTACAGTGATTAATAACATTATGTGGCCTTTGGGTTGGAGATAACAGTGGGAGGCTCACCCTACCAAGTTGACTCATCCCCAAACCAGACAAATGATTGGAAGCAGAGAAAGTGTTACTCTTGGCAACCATGTGCAATTATATACTCAGGAACATGAAAGCTCTAACTGATGAACTGTTCAGTAATACACTTAATGTCAATTCTCCCTCTGTTCCACTTCAAGTTTTTAACTGTCTTCCTAACATAGTTTAACAATCTTGACTATTTCTTCCTTTGACTGCTGAAGGCCTTATAGTTTCTTTTCTTTTTTACTGAGAAGTTCAATTCTTTTGTTATAAAGCTATTATTACATAGACACAGAGGGTTGAAGATTAGCATGTTACTTCTTGTATTAAAAAATCTCAGATATCAGCTTATTTTGTTGTCTTTAGAAAAATGATGTGTGAAAATATCTTGCCGATGTGATCTCTGGGTGAAAACAGACTTTTTAAAGAGCCTTTACTCCATTTAGAGGGAATTAAGTTTGGTTTCTACAATAGGGTGCTATTTGAAATAGTGATTATGTTTTTTTCCTCTGTAGCATCGAGATGCACAGGCAAGAGAGGAATACTGTTTGGAGAAAGCTCAATAGGAGGAAAAATTCATCAGGGTAGTCTGAAATGGAAGGCAGTTGTGGGAGGTATCATTCCTTCTCATGGAATGAAAGCTGACAGCAGACTATGTTTAGCAGAACGGAAGCCAGAGGGCACAGCAAGCTGTGAAAGTCTTCACTGTCTTGGGAATTTTTGAGCATCATATAAAGACATGTAAAATAGTATCTTTTGGCATTGTATCAAAGGAAGTATGGAAAAGTGGTATGGAGGTGGAGGGAAGAAGCAGGAAGAGAAAGGGAGAACAAAATAGAGAGGAAAATGATAGGATTTTTCTTGGAAAGATTTAGAGCAAATTTAATAGATTAGCTGAATTTCAGAGGAAGATGTTTTGGAGTTGAATTTAGCTTTCTCTGCCATGATATTTGAGAGCTTTATCTACATTCTACTTGGAAAGAGAAAGAATGACTGGTATCTGACTTTTTACTAATCAAAGTAAATGGAAAGGAGATATTTCATGTTTTCCCCACAAAAGTGAAAACTCTTCGCTTTTTTCCTTTGTTGGGAAGTTGGGAAGAGAAAAATCTCCAGAGTGTTAGCAAATGTGTGGCTTGAGTTCAAGGCTTCTTAAGATGAGTTGACTTTAATAGATGATCATGGAGAGTTACAGAGTTCTGCAGCAGGGAAAGCCGTAAGTGGTTCCAGCATCGCTTCAGTGTATGCTTGGTTTGATAGAAGCTGCGCAGTCTTCCATATAGCTTTCTCCTAAACACCCTGTTTTGTAAATTTATTTTTAAATCAACAAATAATAATTAAGTAATTTTTAAGGTAGAATATGATACTTTGATCTTTGCAAACATCGTGATCCAGTCAGTCTCATTAACATCTTCATCAATAGTTTCATTAGAGTAACATGCTGTCTGTTCAGATAGCCATGAATTTACCCTGGCAAATTTTATAATACTCACGTTACAAGGATGGTATTACTATTATTAATCTTTTGCAAAAGGCTAAAATTTGGTTTCGATGCCCAATATCTAACCATGCCACCTTCCTCTAACTTTCTCCTCCTTAGAAAACATGGCACAAATACTCACATATCTGCATTCTTATTTCTGCAGCTTGGAGAGAGTGGAGAGATCAAAGCAATTGGAGAAGTGTATTTGCTGTTTACAGCCCTGAAAGATGCCTGCACTTGACAAGGAAGAGCTAGAAAATAAATAGTTAATCCCTCTTGCCTGCTTAAAATAGCAATAAGATTCCTGAAGGATTTTTTTTTCTTTACTGAAAAGGAAGATGAGAAGCCAAACTCCACCATCAAGAATCCCTGCTGAGCTTAAAAGGGGAAAGCAATATTGCTTTGGTCCATAAGACCGAATATAGACCTTGTAATCATAGAGATTTAGTGATAACATTTTCTCTTAACTGGCATTTCACATAACAGAGAGTAATTTATTTTTGAAGCAACTGCTATTTTTCACAGACATAAGATTGCCTCTTATGCCTTTAGAAAAAAATTATAAATTAATCTTATTTCCATAATCAATATTTTATAAATTTATTTATTATAAGTATGCTTTTTATTTATACAATTTTATAAATATGGATTTATTTATAGAAACATTGATTTTGCTACTTGCATATAAGGCAACATTTATACTATTTATGATAATAATTATGGAAATATGTAGACTTCAATAAACACTTAGGTACCATAAGTCTTGTGTCTTCATGATTATTCTCTTTTAGTATCATTGTCACCATCATTAATATCATTGACATCACCAATATCATTACTATCAATATGACCATGATCATCCAATCATTTTCATGACTATGCATTCAACTGGAAGGAATGATGTAGTTTTCAGTATTAGATGATTGAAGATTGGATCTAGAAGGCCCCCCCTTATTTTTCGGTCAGTCGTGGGGCTTAAACTCTGGGCTTGAGCACTGTCTCTGTGCTCTGCAGCTCAAGGCAAACACTCTACTGCTTTAGCCACAGCGCCATTTCAGTTTTCCTGTAGTTTATTGGAGATAAGAGTCTCACAGACTTTCCTGCCTGGGCTGGCTTTGAACCGTGATCCTCAGATCTCAGCTTCCTGAGTAGCTAGGCTTACAGATCTACAGGCATGAGCCACTGGTGCCTGGCTAGAAGGCCATATTTTAAAAGATTAGTCCTCAGCATAGTGCTATTGGGAGATGATGGAGAATTACAGGTGTGTGGAATCAATATGTCTGATCCTCTGGCCAGATGAGGTCCACAAATCATTTAGCACATGATAGGATAGCCACATGTTCTTCTTGTATGCTTTTGCATACTTCTTGTCATCTGACTACAATGGGGTGCCTATACTGATAATTTTGTTAGATTCATGAATGATATTTCCCACTCCTGCTGGGAGGTGGAGCCAAGTGGGAGGTCTTCATATCACCGGAGGTGTACTTGTAAAGGGGAGACTAGGACCCAGTAGAATAAAATAGAATAGAATAGGACTGGGTGCCATTCTCTACTGTCTTTTTCTCTTACATCCAGGCCATGAGGTGAGTGGCTTTGCTTACCGTGTGCTCCTCATTCATTTTTATGTGCTGCCTTGCCACAGGCCCAAATGCAATTGGGCCAATTGACTATGCATTGAAACCTTGAAGAACCTATGAAATGTATTTTTTCTCGTAAATTCATCACCTCAGAGACGTGCTATTGTGACAGAGCTGACTTATATGTATCCCCATTTTCAGATGACAAAAGTGAATCAGAAATATTTTATGACTATGTTATAAACTTATTGTTTTATAAGCTTATGAGTATTTATTTGTAAGTTTTATAACCTTTATGAAGACAGGTCTATATGACTTTAAGGCTCTTTGCTATAGTTGCTTGTGTCCATTTATTATGTTGATTCAACATGTAATTTGGAATGAAGAAAGGTAAGATATCGTGAAGAATCTATCTGCATTATTAGCAGTCTGTGGCTACAGTGAAGGTCTAAGGGCTGAGGAGAAATGCATGTCATCCTGTTCGTGTCAGATGAGCTGTTTTAGTTCTAGGTTAGGCCAATTAGGAAATATAGTGTTCATCTTCCTGTGAACAAGGCCATTAATGACTAAGGGAGCCTATTATGTTGGGGAGCTTTTCCTACTAGTGGAGTTCAGCTGCATTATAAGTTTTGAAACAAAAGATGGGCAATATATTATGAAACACACAAAATCTATGCATCTTTTAAGGCTGCACAGTAGTATAAAGAGGACAGGAGTAAAGACAAAGATATTCTATCTAGAAAAATGGAAAAACAAGACCTGTACCAAAAGCTATTTTTTTGTTCTCCTTCCAAAAGTGCCATGATTTCATCAAAATGTGATACTGTACTTTTTAAATTTTTAAAAAATTATCTTTAAGTAGTTGTACAAAAGAGGTATCATTTAACAAAGTAGTTTATGAATATAGTGCATGTTAATCAGTGTCACATCCTTCAACATTCTAACTCCTCCCTGCCCTTTTGACACTTACTTTTCTTAGTTTTGTGGTATATACAATAAATTCTTGGCTGTATTCTTCCCATCTTCCCCTTTCATTCATTACTCCTCTCCCCTTAACCCCACCTGTTGAATATATCAATTTCCTGCTATTGATTTTATTGGGCTTGACCTAGTCTTTCTAAATGATTTTACTAATTGAGCTCTCTATAGAGGCTATTATACTTCCATTAATTCACATGACCCAGACCAGCATGTTTACTTATAGATTTATAGGTACATTCTACTACAAACGAAGGAAACTATGCAACCTTTGTTTCTCTGGGACTGGCTTACTTCACTTAATACAGTTTTTCCAAGTCTTTCCATTTCCTTATGAATAGTACAATGTCATTTTAATAGATAAGTCAAAGTCCATTGTGTATATATGACACATTTTTTTATTTTTTTAATTTTATTTGTGAACATACTGTACAGAGGAGTTACAATTACATGGGCAGGATAATGCGTACATTTCTTACCAAGCATTGCAGCCTTCTCCTTTGTTTACCCTTCACCTCCCTTCCCAGCTTCCCCCCTCCCCCCCCACCCAATCCTTCGCCCCCTCCCCACCTCCACCGACATTGTAAAGCTCGTTTTTGACATGACAATTTGTACTTCTCATTGTTGCAACAGGTCCACCTGTATCCTTAAACATCTTGTTTTTCCCCATCTCCTCCACAAGTTATACTGACATCAATATAGTGAAAGCGGGGGTTATACTGTGGGGGAGGGACATACAAAGCAACAAAGA